TTATATTAGTTATATCTCTATATATACATAAATGTAACGAATGAAAACAACTCATTATTTCTATGCTGTTTTTTTTCAAACTTGAAATAATTTTATAGCTTATAAACAAAATTTTTACAATACTTTGGAACTATAGCCATGCTACGATTTTCGAAAGTACATTTTTTATTAAACAATTTTTTTGCAGATTTCACAGTTAATTTTTTGAAGATATTTTGTATTAATTCTAAGTTAGCGCTGATTATTTAAAATACACAATATTTTCTTCAATATAAAGATGTTTTCAGTAAAGATTTCTAATGAAGGTAAAGAAAACATGCTTAAAGTTTGGAAAATTTACCCTATGAAAATTTTTCAATTTAAATAAATTTATTTTTATTTTTTTTTCATAATTTCACTCTAATAATAATTTTTTTTCATAATAATTTAACCTTTTACTAATAAAGGTCTATATCTAGAAGGAAAATAAAATTTATTTTAAATAAAAAACTTACTTCTTTTGGTAATGTTTTTTTGTAAATAGCAAAATAAAACTCCAAAATTTATTTATATAAAAATATTTTTAGGTATTTTCAGATATAAATGGCTTAAAACATACAAGGCCTCTTATAATTTTTTTTCTTTATACAAACTCTATTTAGGTATCCCCTGATTTACGTCCCTCGATACACGATATTTCGATTTACGCTCTTTTAATTTTGAATACCACTAATTTACATAAGTCACTTCCCTCGTTTTAAACTTTTTTTTTCCGAAGTAAATTTCTACCAAAAAATTTTTTTTTCATTTTCACAATTAAATTTTTTGTCTGACCCTGAAAATCAATTTTTTCAATCCCATCGATTTTCTTATGTACCTATGTATTTGTCACTTTGCCTAATATGCGACAAAAAAATGAAATAATTTTTTTAGCTTATACGATATACGTGCATAATTATTGTTTATTATTTCATGCGACAAAAAAATGAAATAAATTTTTTAGCTTATAGGACATACATATGTAATTGTTGTTTATTATTTCATAGATAAAAAGGAATGTGTAAGTACGTGTTCAATATAAATTTTTTTGTATGTACCTCGAATAACGTCATTTCGATTTACGTCGTAAATTTTCAGTCCCAAAAACGTAGTTAAGCAAGGGATATCTGCACATTTTTTTAAAAACTAAAAAAGGAAAATGAAATCGGCTCTCTCTACGCGGTGGTCTTATATTTACCAGGCCAGTGATGAAAGAAATACTTATTGTTTTTTTGTATATAAAAAAAACAATGAGTATTTTCGCCTACTCTTTAAATTATCCGCTCTTATTTTATATATTTTTTTTACATATTTTGTATATCTTCAAAATTTTATTTCAAATAACCATATATACAAAAAATATGGTAAATTAATAATAATTCAGTTTTTGATGAACAGTGTGAAAATATTGTCCCAGTCTATGATATTTTATTATACTCCTGTAACACAGCCATCTTTATTATCAGGACTCCCTAATGCAAAATTTACTAATGCATACATACGGTGTATTTAAAGTTGGTCATCATACTTTTTGTTAAGCAATATACATATTTACCTCTCCACATCTTTTGGGAACAAATGATATTTCGTGCCGGCTCTTTTTCATCCCAAACACTTCAAATAATGTTTACCCATTTTTATAAAAAAAAAAATATTTTTTTCACAACTATTTAAATTTTTTTTAATATTATACGTCTTTTCAAAATTTATTTTAATTATTTTTCAAAATTATATACATATAAGCTATAATAATTTTTTTTAAACACTTTTTTTCCGCTTCGCTTTTATAATACACATTTTTTACCACCTTGTACTGGATATAAAAGTATACTTTATATAAAAGTATAAATATTAAAAATAAATAACTCCCGGTATTAAAAATACATTATAAAATAACAGGTAGACATCTATTGCGTACTTTTTCCCTTTTCTAGGGGAATTAAATCCTCCTTTTAGCTAGGGGAATTTTTTGTACGAGTATACAAATATTCGTGAGTGATTGCATTAGTGTGATGTAAACGGAGAGTCGAATTACTTATTAATAGATATACTTTGTTGTACATTATAGGAGTCTATGCCTGTTCTCATAACTCACAGAAAGTAAATTATTTTTATTAGTGTTTTCACATGTTTATGTTCTGCCAATGTTAATGATCTCCACATACATACATTAGAACAAATTGCAACAACAATTCCGTTTCCTAATTTTAATAAGAAAGGCAAAAAATGAGAGAATGGAAAAGTGTTTAAGGCAAAACAAATTTTGATGATTTTTTTGTATGAAAATGGCTTTATTTTTTTGTATGCTTATATGGAATGTTGAAAGAAATAATATTTCTCAACATTTCTTGCTTGAATGAATCATCTATTTCTACGAAGTTATTAGTTTTCGAGTAATACTTTTGGTGACTTTTCCAGTCAAATTATCGACCAAGAACGGACTAAATGTACGAGACTCTTTATATATAAGCACATTTATTTAAAATGCTAAATACAATAAATATATTTTGTTGTACGTAAGTACATACACTAGAAACCTATACGAATGTGTACTAAATGTACTTGCTTTTATTAAAGACGTTCTGATATCTCGGCAACCACGTCTACTACTGCTTTACTTCTAAAAACATACTACTTGATCCTCTAAAAGTGGCAAAAACAAGAACAAAATAAAAAAAAGTGATGTTATTTTTGTCATCCCTTTTTTAAAAAAGTTTAAAACTGAAACTCAATCTTACATAATCGATGCAGCATCGATGCGTAATCATTTAAAAATTATGTAAATACGAAAATGCCTCGAAACCGTAACACTTTAAAGTTTGGCATTGTATGTGCACACATGTAATCAGCAAAATAAAGAAAAAAGTGCCTAATTTCAACCGAAAACGGGCCAAAAAGTCAAAAAAATTTTTTAGTACATTTTTAACTGAACAATTAGTTTTAGTCAGAAAATAAAGTTTCATTTACTATATTCATAGCTGGTAAATGAAATTTTTCTTGAAAAAGACGGTTTTCAAAAAAAAAAAAAACTCACTGAAATTTTATTAATAAAAAAAGTAAAATTTTTTTATTTTTAATAACAGTGACATTAACAATGTTTTTTTTACCTAACATAAATGTATATCACATGAATTCAATAATAATAAAATAAAAACCGTTTAATATATAAAACAATAGAAATTTTAAGACTAGTCCATTAAATTCTAGTCCGACTTCATAAAGTCGCTTTTAAAATTAATAGCCATAATTTCTTTGTTGGGAGATCACGAACATCCTTCGCCTTTCAAAAAATCTTTTACGCTTAACAAAGCGGAACACGTTGACACCAATAAACGATTTCTAAGTTTACTTTTTATAAGATTACGTGAAAATATTCTTTCAACTGTGGCTGTAGAATGTGGCAACACTAACAAACCGCTAGTTATTTTATCTAAGTTCGAGCACATTACATCATTTAACCCGTTTTTGCACTCAATGATCTTTTGCCAAAATTCCTGGAAAGAAAATTTTTGATGTTACATAAACTCATGCAATCTAAGTAGAGACTGCCATTCGCAATTTAGAGCCTCAATCTCGCCAAAATGGGCATAAAAAACTGTTAAAAATGGAAATATAGATAGATAATTACCAGAAAGAGCTTTTCCTGGTTTTAAGTAAGACATACATTGTAGAAGTTCATTTTATGTTTATTTTTTTAACGATACTATTGCAAAATGTAATATAAAACTTTAAGATGCTATTAAAAAAAATTTGTAGTGTCTAAATTTTTATATTGATATAAATGTTGTTCCACTTTTGTTCCGCAATAAATTTCTTTTAGAGGACGAAAGTTTGATGTTTGGTTTAGACCAATATTTAAAACAGAATGTACATTTTTTCTTACTTCAGCTTTGGTAAAATTTGTGAGGAAAGTTCTTAGTAAATAATTAGATCTTAATGAGATCAAATATGTTTGCGTGCTTAACCAAAATAATGTTTGCTGCATTGGCAATTTGACACTTTACTAGACATCGCTACTGAATTAACTCAAATTCACAAAAGGTAAACAATTTAAATTCACAATAGAAAAAAGTATTGTTGTTATAATTTTGATACAGTATAAGTGATTATTACAGTTCCTATTACAGTTTTTCGTAGCATAATTTTGATGGTACAGTTGTTCAGCTTAATTTGACATTTCAAGTTTTTAAATAAAAGGGCCAAAAATGTTGTCAAAGTGCTGAAAGTTTAAAAATTGGCTAAAAATGGCACAATAGGGCTAAATATTCAAAATATGATGCGCATCATATTAAGGAAGCTGGGCATCAATTTTTTTGTGATTTTGTATTGATGCAAAGTTTTGTAAATGGAAGCTGAGAAGCAAATTTATTATTTTAGCTCAATAACTAATAAAGTTAATTATTTTTTTATGCGCGATATTAATACTTTTAAATGTTCCATTGTATTAAAATCTTTCAAACTTAATTGAAGTTAAAGTTTTTATAAATAGATCTTCAGTTGTTAATTTAAATACTTTTACACAAAGCCTTTTCAGAATAAACGCTAAAATATTGATGATTTTGAAAGTGTCTAAAAATGTCAAAATAATTTTGCATCAACAAAGTAAACGTATCACATCCGCATAGCATCAGAAAATTTATGTTGCATAAAGTAAAAGTATAATTATGTGTATATTTTATTCGCAACATTAAATTATGTAATGTTTTTTCCCAAATTTATAATCTTCTAAAACCACAAGCTGTATAATATCAGAAGCCATTTCCTTTTTTTTCTAAAACTGCTATTTTATGAAAAATAAAGACATATAAATTAATTTTGGAAAAGATTCAAGCAAGTGAGGTATACATATTAGCATGAAGAAAACCGATGCAGTATCAGCATCTTTTGACCAATATACTATTACATATTATTCAATAGTTACGCCTTGAATATACTTTGTAAAAATACCTTAAATAAAAAAAACAATATTTTCTAATATTTTCCAGTTTAATTTAGATGAGATACTTAAAGCCTAGCTTAAACTAGTTTATCAAATAATTTATGTCAATTTTGGTTGATACCAACAAAACCGAATTTTCAATTTTGATATAGAAATGTGTGGAAAGAATACAGTATTAATTAAGCACGTTATTTATTAAAATGGTATGTTGAAGTAAGCATGTACTATAACTTCATTTCAAAATTAATACAGCTTTTCGATGAAAAAATATTCAATTTCCGCACACTCTGAATTTAGTGAGTGTGACCAAATTTTCCCTAGGATTTTTTCCAAGAATAATACATTTCCATTGGCTTGTTTACCTTAAAGTTGAAATTATGTTTACATTAGCAAAAAAACTGTGAAAAAATATCGTTATAATCAAACCTTCCAAAATTTTTCATTCACTTGCTGCAGTGTTTGATTTCCACTTAAAATAACCAATTGATTTGGTTGAGGTGCAACATATATGCAAAAATTAAGAAGTCTATAAGCTTCTGGAAGTTCACTATCTAAATCCAACGATAATCTCATGGCCAAATATTTGCTTAAATGATCCACTATTTAGCGAAGACAAAAGAATTATATAATATTAACTGCTTTCAAAAAGCTTGTTTTTAGGAATAAAATTTTAAGTCCCCCTTACCTGTTGCATTTGCTGTTGTTTTAATATATCGAACAGAATTCTCTTTAAGAGCTTCCATTAGTTGATTTTCGCTTGCCATTTCGGTTGGATGGGGCTTAAATACCATTTCAATATCGTCATTTATTCCCAATTCGGAATTTGCTTCGTTTTCCGTATCCATGGAATCTCCTTCGGTACGACTGCAATCCATTTGACTATCGCTTTCGGATTCTTCAGATCTTTCAGATGTAAAGACTGACATACCACGCTTTGGTTTACTACTACTACTATTCGAAGGCACAGGCGATGGAGTACTTCTTACAGATGGTGGATTGGAAGGATGTCGGCAATCAGAAGCTCCTCCATCACCATTATTTTGAGCAGAAGTGGAACTAGCATTACTATGATGTGAGTTATGGCTATCAGTGTCGTTTCCACCCCCACCCCCACCACCTTTTCGATTATACCTTTGAGGGCGATTTTGTGATTGTAATTTTATTCCTTCGTTTATTGAATGTACAAGTGCTTGTTGCGATTGCGTTTGGTTGAATTTCGCCAACACTCTCTCCTAAATGAATATTCACATATTACATTTATATTAAATTTTGTATGAGAATACACATGTTGAATTTTTTTATACCTGAATTGCTTCATATTCTTCTCGACTTGGATATATTTTAGAAATGAGAAGATCAAAATTAGGATCTGGCCTTAAGGAGCGTTTGGAAACTAGTTTTTTTCTACAAGTTGGACATTCTTTGTTGCCAGACCTGAGTGCAGTAATTATACAATCTGAACAAAATCTATGCAAACATTCTTTGGTTGTCATTGTTTTCTTCAGCATATCCAGACAAATCGGACACATTAGCTCACTATGAAGACTGCGAGGAGATACCGCTATTTCTGTATTATCCGTTATCACCTCCTGTGGCTTCCTTTGAATTTCATAAAGTGACAGCTCCCAAGTTTTATTTTGTTGAGTATCAAGCGACGTCATTTTCTTGCCAAATTGAGAAAAAAATTTTTCAATTTTTTAATGTATACAAAATTGTACTCAAGAACTACTATATTTCCTATTAAAATTATAAAAAATTTATTGTTTGTTCAATAAAACTAAATGATGTATTTTAAAGAAAAACAAATTGCAAAAAAAATGGAGAAATGAAAGTAAAACTGAAAATAAAAAATATATACATATGTACCTACTTAAATATTTATTATTTATATTTCTCATACTCACAGTAAAGTATACTTTTTTTATTACAATTTAAAGTGTGTTATATACATATATTTCAATTCATATTTTAACAACTCGAACACCAGTTTTTTATTTAATTGTCCGGTTATATATAAATAACTTAACTCAAAGGCTTTTTTTCGAATTTTTTCTTTTATACATTTTGTGTATCAATCAGTGTTCCCACTCAATAAAAACAAAATGTATCCAATTTCAAGAACAAAATGTATCCAAAATGTATCCAGCCTCCTAAAGTAGAATTATTATACTAAATCGCCTTATTTTATACCAATAAACTCTTAAATAATATTAATTTGCTTTATTCAACAATGTAAGTTTCGTTATTTATAGTAAATTCTTTTAGAAATCACACACAATTTCTATTACATTTTAAAATTTAAGGTCAGAAAATATATGTTCTTTAGCTGTTGAACTATGCGGTAAAAACTATTCAGCACGAAAACGGGCAAATTTTATTTAGTCAGCAAATAACATTTTTTGGAAGATAATGCACTTAAAAGTTACAGCACTTTAAAAGTTTTCTAACATTTATTTAGTGTTCGAGAAAGAAATGTATCCATATTTCAGCAAAATTTTAAAATGTAGCCAATTTCGACATTTTAGCAGATTTGAGTATCTTTGTATCCAAGCTTAATTTTAAAGCAAAAATGTATCCAAATGGATACAATTGTATCCAAGTGGGAACGCTGGTATCAATTAACAATATGTCAAAACACAAAACATCAAGCGAGATTAAATTTCAAATTAAAATCGTAAGCAGGGATGTCGTTTGGCTCCGATTTGAAATTTATATCCCGATTTAAGAGTTTGTTGATAAAACCTTGGCTAACGAAATTATGTACGTATACCCTTTTCTGTTAATTAAAAAGCCGTCACCTATCTTTTTGTAGCTAAGTTAATCAATTAGTCAGTTAAAATAAACTTCGTCGACATCAGCAGATGAAATATACGTATGTTTGTACAAATTTTTTCAATAGAAGATAATATTGCAATTTTGACATTTTAATTGAAGTCGATCGCTTATATTTTTTAAAACTTGAAAAATGTATTCAAAGCTCTCTCAGTTTAGCGCATTGTAGTGTGGTAGCTGAAAGGGTATTTTCTTCGTTAATTTGATTAAAACTAAATAGAGAAACTCTTATATTGAAATGGTAAGCAACATTTTAAATTCAAGAGTTATTTAAAAATATTGATGCGGAAAGCTAGGAACCAAGTTGTGATGTTATTTACTTGCAGTAAGAAAATTTGAAGTACACATTTTTTTTATTTAAAGTACGTTTTGTCAACACCATTTTAATCTACATAATGAATAAAAAATTTTTAAAGAAATGAATAAGGTACTAAACATATGATCAGAAAAAAAACGTCATAAACATGTTTTGAGTTTTTTGTACTATTTTATGGTATTTTCTGATCGTCATAGCTATATAAACCTATATGAAGTTTCACGTAAAAAATATTATATTAAGCTTAAGTTTTTATTGTGATATTTTTTAATTCGAATTTATTTACTAGTTTGTCTATAATTCTTATTCAAAGTCTTTTTTTTCTGATTTTTTTTTGTATTCATACGAAATTGTTTTTTTATGAAATATGTATATGAATTACAGTCAGCGTTTACATATCAATCAAAGATTTGCAAGAATGATTGAGATTCAAGAAAATTGAATATGCAAACATCGTTAATCAAATATTATCGCCCATTTTTGATTGAAAAAATAGAATTGGTTTGACAGAAATAAAACAAAAAATGGCATAAGCATAAGTTTTTAAATTATTTTTTGTTGCGATTTGTCATTTGATAATGGAGTGACTGTTTTTTTTTTCAATTCTTGTATTATAACACTGGGCGTTTGGATTTTCTAACCAATTTTTAAGCTATATCTATAAATCCGATTGGTTTCAAATTTTGCTTGGAGTTCTAAGTTTTATGACAATACAATATTGTTTTCTTGTTTGCAGGTGGCTTGATTAAATGGGATTCCATACAATTTCTTCTTAGTGAAAGCCAATATATTTGAATCAATTCAAGCTACATACTTCAAATTTCAGAAAAAATTTTTGAGACTTGTGTCTACAAATATGCTACATTATGGAGGCTGAGGAGTTGTTCCACGGCTTTTCGAATTGAGGAATTAACATTTACTTGCATATATTTTCGTAATAAATTCAAAACTAATTGAAATTATTTGAAACAATGTTTGCCTGTGGCAAACTTTTTTATTTTTAAATTTTTCATATGACTATATGAGTTCATATGAATTTAAAATCTTTAAATATGTCAAACAAAGTAGTATACACATCAATAAAGCTTATTTTATTTTATTGTTTTGCTTTCATTAATCGGTTACCAGTTCATAATAGTACGATAAAACAATAACGATACGGTATTGTTATCGCATATCGGATTTTTTCATAATAATAATACAATGTTATGAACTGAATTTTTGTTTTGAAGACGAAGAAGAAGAACTACATCTAGATGTAAGGATCACACGAAGAAGGTCTTAGACTATTTAATTCATTGGAAATTTTGATTCAAAATTTATTAGCATAAGCTTTTGAAAAAACATTTCTTGCAACACTTAAATTCTCCTCCATTGTTTCATCCAATCCTATTTAGTTGAGATTTATTACTGACAATTCTGTTCCTAAAAATACAAAATCAAATTTATCTTAACTTATAATTCTCAATTATGTTAATAATAGTCAAATATTTACATTTTTTAAATTTTATTAACTGAAAAACTACTTGTAAAATCGTTATCGTGTGCTATCATATACTAAAAATTAAACAATAAAATCTATCTGAAAATCCCAAAAATAAATTTTTCATAATACGATTAACGCTAATGCAAATGTATAACAAAAAAATGTATAACAAAAAAAAGCTCTTTTGAAATACGATAAATCGTATGATACAATGCCCATAAATAAATTTTATAACACTAACACTACAATAACCATCAGAAATGTCGTGTGTCGTACAAAATATTTTTTTCATAATAAGGACCAATAACTAAATTATTGAACATTATGTCTGTTATTCTCATTGCCATTCTTGTTAGCCAACACTTACCTTATTGAAAAATGTATTTTTTTGATAAATTCATAAAAATTCATAATTTTTAATAAATCATTCTCATAAATATAAATATGAACGATTTTTACATTTTTCTTTCTCTCTATTTTTCTTTTTTTTTTGTTCAACCAAATTTAAGTGGGAAACTTTCTAAAAAATGTAAGATTTTTTAAAATATTAAACTCTTTTTTTACTTAAACACGGATAAAAATTAAAATAATAAACGATATATGGAATTAAAAAAAGAACAGAAAAGAAGGCAACAAATCCGAATACTTCGTAAAACAAATTTAAGAATGTTAAATATAAGGGCACTATAAAAGACATTAAATTTATAAATGTCATAATATGGAAATTATGAAATATGAAAAATATTTTAATGGTCAGATAGTAGCAGAAAATTTTGAAGCCAGCATAGAATAAATACGGTTTACATAATAGACCTACTAGTTAAGTAGATTGGTGTTACAAAGAATGTTTTTTTTCCCCAAAATTGAGCAAAAACAGCTGAGTTCTCATTTTTATGTTGTTCTAGAGCACTTTCCCGCCGAAAGAAATTTTTTAAGTATAATAATTACAACCAAAGTATATCTACTAATAAGTAGTTCAACTCTCCGTTTACATCACACTAAAGCAATCACTCACCAATATTTGTTTAGAAAAAATTCCCTTTGTTGAAAGAGTTAAGCAGTATACCTCCTTATTTTCATTTTCATACACATAACAATTTTTGAGAAAAGGAAAGAGTACGCAATAGATGTATACCTGTTTTTTATAATGTATTTTTAAAAGCGGGAGTTATTTATTTTTCACTATACAAAGTATAGGAAGAAATATTCAAGAATTTTAAAGGCGGGAGTTTTATTTTTGTAACTTACTCCAGTATAAGGTGGCAAAAAAGGTGTATTCATATTATACAAGCGAAGCGGAAAAAAAGTGTTTAAAAAAAATTATTATAATTTATATAATATACTTTTGAAATATAATAAAAATAAATTTTAAAAAGACGTATAATATTAAAAAAAATTTTAAATACTTGTGAAAAAAAATATTTTTCAGTTTTTTATAAACCATCCAAGAATTTCATGGATAATTTAAAGAATTTAGGAAACACTTTTATTCGCTTTTAAAATTCTTAATATTTTTCCCTATACTTTATATACGAGCAAATAATAAAGTGTTGCCTTTCAAAGTACATTTTAAAAAAACAGGTTGATATCTATTGCGTACTCTTTCCCTCTCCCAAAAATTCTTATGTGTATAAAAATGAAAATAAGAAGGTATACTGCTTAACTCTTTTAACTAAAGGAATTTTTTGTATACAAATATTAGTGAGTGAATGCATTAGTGTGATGTAAACGGAGAGTCGAATTACTTATTAGTAGATATACTTTTGTTTAAGATAAGCTAGTAGATGTCGCTAAAGAAATGGGTTTTATACTTTTTCTTTTCTGGCGAAAGTTTTCACGCTAGATTGAATATCTGATGAATATGTATGCTTGTTTAATGTCTTTACATCTAACAAGTCCCAATACTCAATTTTTTTTACGAAATATTAAGAATTTTTGGCTTCGTTCCTGTTTTTTTCTTTGATTCCTACTGATCGTGTCATATTTCTTATTATTTTTTTCTTTTTGCTTACGTAAAAAAGAGTTTAATATTTTAAAAAATCTCAGGATATTATCATGGTATAAAAGAATAATAAGGATATTCCCATCAGCTGATTTTAGAAAGCTTTTATGGAAAACGTCACTCAGTGCATTTACTGTTTGAACTGTTTGACATATTATTTTAACGTACAATTTTGCGAGAGAGGAAAATAAATTTTTGTGTGACGTACTTCAAAATATTTAAAAATAACTGGATAAAAAATTAATTATTAAAAACTTAGTGATATTCATTTGTGCATAATCTTTTGTTGATTTTATTTTTTAAATAAAAAAAACTGTTATTGTTAATTGTTTGTTAATAAAAGTAAAAAAAAAAATTATGGTGAAGTGTATAGTTGGTGGGTGTACAAGTTATCATAGGAAAAAACAATCGATTCGGTTTTTCACTTTCCCTAAAGATCCTGTCCTTCGATCTAAATGGGTAAGAGCTTGCGGGAGAAAAACCAAATTTAGTGTAGGAACTGCCCGAATTTGTTCAAATCACTTTGCGGTTGACAGCTACAAACTTCAGGATATCTTACTAAATGTCCCAGAAGGGAAAAGCCATTTAAAGGAATCTGCTGAACCAACTTTATATCTTCCGGACGTACTAGAAAAAGGCGAAAAAAGAGAAAAGAAAAAACAAAAGAGATCGCAAGAAACTCGTGCAGGAAGCTATAGCAGAATTTACCTCTGATTCAATTGACAATGTTTAGTAAGTGCTAAAAATGTTGTTTTTATTTAAAAAAAGAACTGTGTTAGGTACACTAAACCACCCTATTTAGTTTCTAGCATTAGTAAAAAAAGAAAAAATTTATCTTACTAGGTAGGTATACTAATTCGAACAATTTTATGTATAATTTATTGCAGGCAAATTCTCAAAGAAAACGATGATTCAGTTGTTTTAAGAACAGGGGAAATTGGAGTTCAAACCGAGTAAGTTAATAAGTAGTTCAAGTTGGTAAAATATTCATAAGCTATTTTCTTATGTTTTAGAATAAATTTGGAAAACTATTTACAAAAACAAAACTTTGATTTGAGGAAAAAAATACAGAATTTACTACATTCACTACAACATAATTATGATAAAATAAAAGTGATATTTGCTCCAGGGCAGCTAAAGGTCGGTGGAAGATATATCATCTGCTATATCTTTATATGCGGCAGGACCTAGAGCTTACCGGGTTTTATTGCAACGGAGTTACCCACTACCTTCTGTATCAACTTTAAAAAAGTGGGCTCAAAAACTTAAATTAAATCCAGGTATATTGAGTCTTGTTTTCAAATTGTTGCAAAATGCGACGTATAATGAACTCGAACGTTTGTGCATTTTAATGTTTGATGAAATTTGTAAAAAATCTTGCTTTGAGTATGATAGCACTAACGACAAAGTGTTGAAACCGAGTAGATATGCACAAGTTGTTATGATCAAAGGATTAATTAAGAATTGGAAGCAAATTATTTTTTACAACTTTGACACTCCAATGACGAAAACAATTGAATCATTAAATTAATATCATATAATCGTTCAAATATCATTGAACGATTATATGATATTAATTTTAAAGTTGTTGCTACAGTTTGTGATATGGGTTCAACAAACTATCGTTTGCTAAAAGAACTGAAGATTAATGAAGCACAACCATTTTTCACAGCCAACCAAGAGCCAATATTTGTTTTTGCTGACGTACCCCATCTAATCAAGCTTGTGCGCAATCATTTCTTGGATACAGGATTTGTATTAGACAACGCTGAAATAAACTGTCAACCTACAAAAGAAATTTTGTTACTACAAAATACTGAATTAAAACTTGCACATAAACTGACGGATCTTCACATCGAATGCAAAGGAGCTTTACGACAAAAAGTTAAATTGGCAACTCAACTGTTTTCAAATTCAGTATCTTCTGCCATAAGAAGATGCATATCATTAGGATTAATAACAAAAACTTCTCCAGAAAATAGCCTTGAAACATGTAAATTTATTAAATTAGTTAATGATTGGTTTGATGTTTTCAACAAACCAATCATTAACTAATTTTCGGTCTTGAATTTCATGAATCGGAAAAATGTTTTTGGTTTGGCACAAACCGAACAAAATATAATATTATGTGAAATGACCAAAACAATGAAAACAATAAAAATTTCAAATCATAAATTGTTGTTGCCGTTTCAAAAAGGTATTATTTTGAATAATTGCTCTTTGAATCAGTTGCTTGACTATCTAAAAAATAAATATGATATGAAGTACATATTAACAAATAAGTTAAATCAAGATGCACTAGAAGATTTTTTTGGTATAATTCGTAGCAAAGGTGGTCTTCATGATCATTCAACTCCCATAGAATTCCAATATCGATTACGTAAATGTTTGTTATGTCAGTCGCTTTAAAAATATTAATGCATATTATTCATAAAATAACTACTAACAGAAAAAAAATACAATACTACTAATTTTATATTAATTTTTCAAACTAATTTTGATTTTTATAAACAGTTTTTGAAAGGTAAAATGGTTTAAAAAAAATGTACAAAAAAAATAAAAATTCAAATCAATTTCAATTTGATCATTTTCATTTTGTTAATTTTATCTAGGGAGAAGGGATAATTTACAACGAGTTGTTCCACATGGAAATGCGGAAGAAACCGAAGATAATATTTCCGAAGACCAACAGTTTTCTCAAAGCTTGTTAGAGCACCTGAGAAATCTGATGTATTTCATGAAGAAATCGTTTCTGAAGAATTTACTTTATTAAATGAAATTGAAGAGGATGCAGTAGAGTTTTTGTCTGGTTATTTAATTAAAAAAATTTATTCTCTTAGTTCAAGAATCAGAAAATAATTCAACTGGCTTTACTTGGGTAGATGAAGTTTCAGAAGGCGGTTTAGTGAAACCTGGAAATGATTTTAATCAAAAGATAAGAAATCTTGAAAATATTTTAATAAAGTTAAATGGTAACGACATACATATGTTTAAATCAGGGAATTTTAAAAACTTTAATACAAAATTCAAAAGACATTTCCCTAGATATGAATGTAAAAAAAAATATTTTAAAAGTAGAATACACTTTAAAATAAAATATTTAAACGAAAATTAAAAAAAAATTATTGAATAAAAATTAGGTTTTTTTTTCTTTTTGAACAAAATTATATACATCTGTTCCTAAAATATACAGATACGTACTCCGTTTTTCTTTTCATATTAATTTATATTCATTTCAAACACATTCAGATTAATAATGAAATAACAGAAAAATAATGAAATGCTTTCAGTAACATATATAATGTTGAAGGCGAAGGTTGTGCTTCTTGTTTTTCCGCTTTTTTGTATGTATTTCAAGAATTTTAAAATAATTATGAATGAAAATATTAATATATTTAATTGATTTTTTAAATATATTTTCGAAATTTTACCTGCTTTATAATAAGTATGAATTTATTTTAATATTTCTTCTCAAAAAAAAAAAACTTCGATTTAAAAAAAAACCATATAAAATAAGATCGTGCTTTCAAGTTTCTCTCTTAGTATTGGGACTTGTTAGATATAAAGACATTAACCAGGCAGTAAATAGATAATATAGACAAATAAAGACGAGAGAAACAGACAAGAACAAGAAGAGACGAAAAAAATACTACAAAAATAAATTAGACCAAAGTTTAGATTTAAGAGTTTAGATTTTAAAAACTTTCTATTAAAATACGTATGATAATTTATCATTGTTTTGGTTGCATTATTTTTTTATGAAGAAAAAATTATTTCCTTTTGTTCATGAACATAAGATCACTACAAATTTTATAGAGCATACAAATAAATTTTCTTGAATTAAAAAGCTCTTTTACAGCATTTGAAACTTCCAGCATAAAACTTATTATGAAGACTAGAACAATTTTTCCTTATTCAAAATTTAAATGATGGCTAAAAAATTTTTACACAAAAAATTTCCATTTTACTCCAGAAAAGAATTCTGTATTCACAGACTACAATGCTTATACTAAAGAGGAGTTTTAAACTACAACGCTTTAAAAAGTTCTATTAAAACTTTTAAAAAATAAAAGTTGGCTTATTTGTATTTTCATATTTAAGATGAAGGTTGCAAAACTTGGAAGTCATATGGTAAACATGCGAATTTTGCTTATGAAAGCACTCCGTAAGTTTAGATATCAAGAAATTAATTCAACAAAAAAGAACTGTGAAAACCCTACGTAAGTTCAGATGTCAAATAATTAATTCAAAAAAACATTTTCGTTGACGTTGACAACCAACGGGTGGTATATATTTGTTTATTTCATATTTCATATTAATTTAGGACCATAAAAATATATTAATATTTAAGTAATATTAAATAATGAATGAAGTATTCGTCAAATGAGCAAAACATCAACGAGTTTATGTAGTACTTCAAAATTTGGTTTGAGTAATATGGTATAAACTTCATACTTCATTTTTGTCTATTGTGTATATTATGAATTCATTTAATTAGTTACATTACATGTACATACGTATTTAAAATAAACTAATGGCAGGAGTTTCGGTAAGCTATACATTGAGTATGTACATCTTTTTCCACTTTTATCAAAATCTTAATAATTACATAAATATAAGACAATACAAGAACATATTACACATATATGTATTTTAGTTTTATTACAAAAATTAATTTTTACAGTAAGATTAGTACATATTTCAAATTTTCTTTTAGAGCGGAACAAGAAAGCTATTAAAGTGTTTTTGCAATTGTTCAGAGTTGACAATAGAAGAAGTCAAAAGAATATATAGATTAAGCGCACAAGAAACGTTAATAAATCGTAATTTTGATATTTTTTAAAAAAATTATTCAGTTAAATTTTTTTAACTTTATAGGTGAAGCTTGTTTACTCTTTCATAAATTTTTGGAAAAAGAACAAACAGGAGATTCTTCGGAAGCAAAGCAATTGCTTGAAATATATAAGAAGTGTGACGAGTATATAATTAACATACACGAACGAATTTTTACTAGTGATGAAGTTGAGGAATTATCTGCTTTAGGTAAATCAAGCTAAAATTTGCCAGCTCAGCACTAAATTGTAAATTTTTAGGATTGGAATACAGTCATGAAAAAGATTTGTCAAAAGAAGTTAGGACTGGCGATTTATATAAAATTGAGATGTGTCTTCGACGTATACAAGGCAAATGCCGAAACCGAATAGAGTGTAGTGACGAGTATTCAAAATTTAAAGAAGCAGTATTGCAAAAAATTCGTAACGCAGATTAATAAATTCAAATTTAATAAATATACCCCTAGTACCTTTCCAAAATTTAAAAAGCACCTTTCATACGACTTTGGCATATAAATTGTGTAATACGGAATAGTATCATATATGATTCCCCTTTGCGCTAAATTTATTCATATTTTATTAAATTTTTTGCTTTCAGTTCATACTAATAAAGTGAATCTTATTAATTTAATTATTAAATATTTTTTTTGCAAAGGTTTTTAGTGTATTTTATAATTGAATAAAAAAATTTATGTTAAAAAATCATTTAATACTAATAGTCAAGAAAAATTACAATTTGTGCTATCGTTTTCAATTTTTTAATTTAGTTAAATGCAAACACTCAAAGAACCTGTTTCAAATAACACCAAATTATAATTCTTCAAATTCAAATTAAAAATAAAAAAGATAACACTTTAAGTTATTACATTAGATAAGGGTTAAAATATCATAAGAAATAATAAGGAAATTTAAGAAAATTTTCGTTGTTTTGTTTTTTACAACTTGCTATAAGAAAATGAATGAGCATAAAACTTGTTCCTAACTAGTTCTCCGAATTATTTTTTTCCTTCATAAACGTACAACAGAGCGTTGCTACGATGAAAAACTGTGAGCTGCTGTCTGGGCGTTTTCACAAAAAGTAATGAAAAATTTCCTCCAAAAAAGATTTTAAATTATTAATATTAATCAATACAAGTTATTGTAGAATTGAATTATGAACTTACTTTATAGATAGTTTAGATTTTTCCATTTGATATTGCACTTTAGTATGCCACTAAAAAAAACACTTTAAGTACTAATTTGATTTTTGGTTTCATCCAAAAAGAATTTTCATTCGACAAATTTGACAGCTCATTCGCCAAAATTTTGGCGGATTCGCTAAGGGTACATAAGTAATACCGAAAATTCATATTAGCTAAAAATTTTATTTGCTTCGCCGATCGTAATAAGGGTAAGAAATAAATAACATGAATATTAGCGTATTCCTGGTAAGAAATGTTTTAATATTAGTGTAGTTTTTAGTTTGTGATTCGTGTAATTGTGAAAATTATAAAATTACAGTATTTATTTCATTTTTTTTCAAAGCATTATTAAGATCTTTATTACTATATTTTAATAAATTCCTCTAATTGTGACTAAAAATATTTTAAATGTTCTTTAAAACATTTTTTTCTAAGTATATTAAATATACAAATTTAATTGACTGAAAAATGTTTATACCCAAAATGGAAATTCAAATTTTTCTAAGATTCCTACAATTGGCCTTTAAAGGCTGAACAAAGTAAACTATGCAGTTTTAGTGTAACTTATGTCCAACCCCAAATTTTTCATAAAATTACTTTTTTTGTTTAGCTGTAACAGAAATATTTAATTAAGCTATATATTCACTTATCGTTAGTAATAAAATGTGAAATCAATACTAAATTATCAGTTTTTTTTTAAGAATATGCAACAACTGCTGCCAAAAAATTGCACTAAGAACCTTGAGAACTCTTTAAATTTTTTACGCCTTAATAAAAATTATACTTATGTTCTAAAAATGCAACAAATTTATCTATCCTTTTTTTTGAGATGGCTGAACATTAAGTGTGACTGCACTTACATTAACTACATATTTTATTCACATTATTGAAATATCCAACGAATTAGATATACTAAACGTTTCTATTTGCTTTGGACTCCCTAAAAAATCGTGTCTAAAAAAAACACAATAAATCCAAAAACTTCGAGTAAGTCTCTTTCTTTGTTCCAGGTATTGTCAAATGCAAGTTGATATTAAATGCTAAAGTTTATTTATTTTTTTTTTGGAAAAGCGACGCTGGTGGATAAAGATAAACTAAAACGATTATACGATTATACTACACTTAGGTCCAATTTTTTCTTACAGAAGTAATAAAATAACAGTAACAGAGTACATTCATTGAGTACTCATTTCATTTAGAAATATAATCTTTCTGAAATATAATAATAGTTTTCGTTTGCATCTTGCTTCCAAATTCTTAAAATATTCCATTTTTTTTTAGAAATAGATGGTAATAAGAGTTGTGTAGGCAAGAAAGAAACAAAATATTGTAAACAAACGAGTGTATCAAAAACATTAAACTAAAATAAAATTAAATTAAGTTAGGTAAAAATTTTGTTATTTTTATTTTGATAATAACAAAATTTATTTTTCATTTTATAAAATTTAGGTAAAAAATTCGAATGTATGAAAGCAAAAGAGTTTGAAATTTCATGTATGAATGTACACATGCATGTACCTGGTACAGTAGATACACAGTATCAGGTAGTGACATAGAAATAAAGTAATTTATAAAGAAAAAAAGGTGTTTGCATACTGATTACTTTAAGAAATATAATTATTACCGATTAATGGGAAATATGTTTTAAATTTATTAAGATTGAAATGAAAATAAAAAATTTAAAAATAATTTATTTATTTTATTTATTAATAAAAATTATTAATTACAAATGCGTAACACTAAAAATTTAAAATATTTTCAAAAGTACATATTTACTTCCCCACATCTCATGACAGCAAATGAAATTTTCGTGTCGGCTTTTTTGCCTCACACACAATATTACATCCCAAACACTTCAAATAATGTTTACCCATTATTATAAAAAAAAATTTTTTTTTTCGCAACTACTTAAAATTTTTTTTAATATTATACGTCTTTTCAAATTTATTTTTATTATTTTTCATATAAATTATAATAATTTTTTTTAAACACTTTTTTTCCGCTTCGCTTTTATAATATGAATACACCTTTTTGCCACCTTGTACTGGAATGAATTACAGAAATTATCGTGTCGCTTTTAAAATTATTAATATTTTTCCCTATACTTTATATAGGAAAAAATAATAAAGTGTCGCCTTTCAAAATTACATTATAAAAAAATAAGTTGACATCTATTGCGTACTCTTTCCCTCTCCCAAAAATTCTTATATGTATAAAAATGAAAATAAGAAGGTATACTGCTTAACTCTTTTAACTAAGGGAATTTTTTGTATACAAATATTGGTGAGTGATTGCATTAGTGTGATGTAAGCGGAGAGTCGAACTACTTAATAGTAGATATACTTTGATATAACATTCAACATTCCAAAGCTCACGACCTTTTTCTAACATGAAGCCATTTTCATACAAAAAAATTATCAAAAGTTGTTTTGCCTTGATCACTTTCCCATTCTCTCATCTTTTGTTCTTTCTTCTCATTAAAATTAGAAAACGGAATTGTTGTTGCAATTGGTTCTAATTTATTATTTATAAGCGGAGCTGACTCTGAAAAACATACCATTTGAATAAAACAGAGATAAAGAAAAAAATTGCAAATAAAAAACTCAAAAATGTGATATCGTGATTCGTGAGATCATAATTCATAGAGATATGTATACATTTTTTTCTCTTTCATAATGAAATGAGTGATAATAATATATTCCATATTTTATATAATTGTATGTACATTAATATAATTGGACATTTCATATTTAATTACACAAAATTAATTACATAAACAAACAAACATTAATATTATCTTATTTTCCCTTTATGTGTGAGTTGGAAATATTTTAGTTCATGTAAGGAAGAGCTAAAGAAACTAAAATTGCAAGTATATAAAAGTGAGTGAACTAATTATTAATATTTATTTTAGAACATCTTTGATTCCAGTTTATCATAATGTAACACTTTTTTTACTTTTTTTTTAGATGTAGCAGGTATTTTAAAAAGGTTTCGAAGATAGCGATCCAAACTACGTATCGCATAATTAATACCTTACCTCATCTTATTCAAATAAGTATATACTTTTTCTGCTCTAATAATGTCTTTATATCTAACAAGTCCCAATACTCAATTTTTTTTACGAAATATTACGAATTTTTGGCTTCGTTGCTGGTTTTTTCTTTAAATGCCACTGATCGTGTCATATTTTTTATAATTTTTTTTAATATTTTAAAAAATCTCAGGATATTAAACACATTTTTTAAAAAGCTTCCCATTTAAATTCTATTGCACGAAAAAGAAAGAAAGGTAGGAGGAAAGAAAAAATGAAAAAAAATTTCAAATTCATATTTCAGTATGGTTTCAAATGTTAATGAGGAAGGATGTATAATTTTTTATGCACATTTTGTATTTCCCAATAAGGTAAGTTGAGTAGTGTCGGCTAACAAAAATGTTAATAAAAGCAATATAGGTTGACATATTTCAATAATTTGAATTATCTCATTTCGGTATTTATACGTTACTTATAAAATTGTTTCAAATAATTTCAGTTAGTTTTTAAGTTATTAAAAATAAATATGTATGTACCTACTTCACATAAATTTTTTTCTAAATAATTATTTTAAAACTATTTCAAACATGTTATATTGAGTGCTTCAAAAATTTTGCATATTTTATTAGCAGGTAAACAAGAGCAATCTATTTATAAAATATCCCTGCATGTGTATGTATGACCTATCTTAATTCTAAACGGAAAGAATATTACTTTAAGAAATATAAAATTTAATAAATTTTAAAATACCTGTAATTTTACAGTCGGAATTTTTGAGTCATTTGGTAAAATACCATTTATTTCAAAAATAAAAAAAATATTCAAATCCGGTCATAAAAATATATGATTGTTATTTCCAAACATTTTAAATATTTTTTTTTCTTAGGTAATTGATATAAATGATAGTAAGTTTTTAATATTTTTTCAAATAAAAATAGAGGTAAAATTTTGAAGTTTATATAAAATTTGTATTTAACAAATAATATTTGATTGTATTTTAGATATTATTTTCTAATTCCCTCTTCAAATTTTTTCTTTACTATGTATTTATATCAATATTTAAGAATTATCTTTGATTAATTATATTTTCAACTTGACACCACGGTTACTCCCCATATCATGAGTTAACTTACCCTATGAGAAAAAAAAGCTGTTCACTTAAAAATAATGAAATGCTTTCAGTAACATATAAAACGTTGAAGGTGAAGGTTGTGCTTGTTGTTTTTCCGCTTTTTTTAAAATTTTAAAATAATTATCAATGAAAATATAAATATATTTTTTTGATTTTTCCAAGTATATTTTCTAAATTTTACCTGCTTTATGATAAGTGTAAATTTATTTTAATATTTCTTCTCAAAAAATAGCTACTTCGATTTAAAAAAACCCATATAAAATAAGGTCGTGCTTTCAAGTTTCTCTCTGAG